TTATATATGGAGAAGAGCATTATTACCGAATGGGATGATGAAAAAATGGGGAAATTTGATATATTGAGTTGGTGGAAAGCAAACTTTGGGAAGTATCCTATACTAGCAAAAGTTGCAAGAGATGTTTTGGGCATACCCACCTCAATCATAGCATCCGAATCTGCGTTTAGCATCGGCGGTCGTGTACTTTATTGTTATAGAAGACGAATGACAACGGATACGGTGGAAGCATTGATATGTGCACAAGATTGGATTAAAGCGGAACAAGGAGGTAAATAATAAATTTGTATAAATTTTATCTATCTATTTTTGGTTAATGGTGCATCCAATGATTATATGCTTTTCTCTACTTGTAATACGAAAAAAAAAATTCCACAGATACAATTTTTTTATGCATAAGGGTTTCTAAGGTCCACTTAGTTTTTCTTATTTTTTTCTTGTTTTTCTCCCCAAGCCTATTTAGCCTTAAAGCCCAAAGTCCCTAGAACTAAGTATTTTCTAGGTTTTATCTTCATGTATTTGTTGGAAAGCATAATGTTCGCGTCGAAAGTTGGTTTATTCATTGCCAAATTCATTAATATTGTTTATCAATTACAGATTCAAGAGAGTGTATTTCTTTATAAGATCTCTCGTTACAACAAAAATAAAATAAAAATTACAACTCTCTTCAAACACACGCAAATGACGTTTATCACCCGCTGCTTACGTGAGATCTTTGCCTGTGCCAGGGACGCGTTAGTCCGTGGACCATCACAGATTAGATCTAGTTGACAGAGTGATTATTTAAAGCTCTTACTTCACAAAGAAATTAATTACAGAAGTGATAATCTCGGCCAAGCGAGATTACGACTCTTCTCGAGATCAAAACCAAGTTTGATCCGGAGGAAAGGTGAAACGTGCCTCAGATCCTTCGAATAACTCCCTCTCTATGCTGAAGTTCACCAAGATCTGCTAGCCCTCCTCTGAAATTCATGCTCTAGTCTTCAATTTGACAGCACCCCGCTCTCTGATTTTAGATCTCCTACGTATAAGGCCCTAGGCTTGTATTTATAGGCTTCGGTTGTAGCGTTTTAGGATAGAAATTGATGATTTGACCTTATCCTCAGTTAACAATCATTTAACCATATTTAGAGATAGTGTCAAAATAGTCGTGGAGGCTCTAGAACGAAAGGATCCTAAAAAAACCCGTCGAAAATGTATTTTCGGCTCGGAACAGTGTGAGCTACCAAATAGTGGCTCCGCCTTGGCCGAGCCACCAATGGTGGCTCGGCCTCCTCCAGGGTCTTTTCCGATTTGTTCATGTTCCGCCATTACGTGTATTTCGTCATTTCGCTGACTTGTATGCTTTACTGATTTGCTTCATGCGTTTTGTTAACTTGGTGGCGGCTGACAAGTGCGTGGGCTACTTAGAGGTGGCTGATGAGTGCACGTGCCACTTGGAGGTGGTTAACGAACGCGCGGGCCACTTGGAGGTGGTCGGTGAGCGCACGGACCACTTGGAGCTAGCTGATGAGCGCGCGGGCCACTTAGAGGTGGCCGGTGAGCATGTGGGCCACTTGGAACTGGCTGATGAGCGCGTAGGCTACTGAGGGTGATTGATTAGCGGTGAGTCAACTTGGGGTTGGCCGGTCCATGAGTCACTTGAGAGATGGCTATGAATGGTAGTGGACACTTGGAAGGTGAGGTGAGCACGCAGGCCACTGGGGAGGGTTGGCCTGAGCCGCGGGCGGCACGGTTGGGGGTGACGCGGTGAGCCACGGGCCACTTGGAGCTGGCTGATGAGCGCGCAGGCCATTTGGAGGTGGTTGATGAGCGCGTAGGCAACTTGGAGGTGGTTGATGAATGCGTGGGCCACTTAGAGGTGGCTGATGAGCGTGTGGACCACTTGGAGGTGGCCGATAAATGCGCGGGCCACTTGGAGGTGGCCGGTGAATGCGTGCGGGCCACTTGGAGGTGGCCGGTGAGCGCACGTTCCCTAACTTTGCCGTTCAGGTGGTTTGTTGCTATGTCATCAACGGTTCACCGATTCGCTTCATGCGCTTGTCAGCATCAGATAATCCTCATTAACTTGGATAATGACGTTCATCGTTTTCTCTCCATCTCGAACTACGTCATCAAATTTTTATTTTTTTCAGGATATCTTATCTAATTACTAGGATTTCTTTGTAGAAAATCATGAGCAAAAGATTGTAGTTGGATTTATTAGTTTTTATTGATCATAGTGATGTAGGAAATTTTTTTACTCTTTATGCAAGTATTTTTCTTTTAAATAATGATATTTTTCTAAAAAAATATTTTTATTTTTAATTTTTTCCATAATTCTAATAAAATTATTATTATCCATTTTGGCCAAGTTTAGTATAATTATGTACTTTCGGTTATTATTTTTTCCCTCAAACCTTTACTTATACTTAATTTGTTTTGGTTAGTCTAGTAATCAGAAACTATCTGTTATATGTATTTTTTGCAGTAATTAGTTTCACATAGATGTTGTTAGCCTAGTGGTCACATGACTTGTTTGTTAACCCCTTAGACACGGGTTCGAATCCCATAGGCTTTCATTTTGACAAAAAAAATTATATTGGGTCTATTGTGAAGGCAAACCCAACCCAGTTCGGACCCATTATCGATTTCAAATCCGTTCAGGTTTATGATTCAAATTACATATCTGTTTGACCCAGTTAGGATCCAATATCAGATTTTAGACCCGTTTGACCTAGTTAGGATCCAATATCAGATTTCAGACCCGTTTGGGTTTATGATTCAAATCAAGACCCGTTTGACCCAGTTAGGATCCAATAATAGATTTCAGACCCATTTGAGCCTTTGCTCACAAAATCAATTTTTTCTAGATTTCTATGCTATCAAATTAAAATTGTTTGGCCCGTTTTGACACTAAACAATTATGCTAATTTATTTTCCTTTTGTTAAGATGAATGATGATATTGTTTGATCTCTTGATGCTTATCAGATAACCTGATACTATGTTGATCACCTAGTGACATTTAATAGGGTTGATTGTGCATGAGGACGACTTCCGTTAAGAAATATGATTCATAAACGTGTTATCATAGCATGACTTTACCCACGACATCGATATCCTGATGTGAGGAGTTTCTCTTAATTATGACCCAAAACATGTCCAATCACATGTGACATTTTCTAGACTATGATGTAAATTTTTTTATTACTCTTTAACATTGTGGATAGTCGTGAAACTCATATTTGGACTTCATTCTTTTGGAGATATTTTTCATCTATACATTTCTTTTATTATCTTAGTTACATGCTCTATAGTTTAGTTTTGGCTTTATATCGGTATACAGAATGATCTAGAGGCATGAATGTGGCCGAATAGTTGCATTATCGACCGGGTCATGTTCTAAGTTATTACACTTTGCAACCGGGGCATGACAATGTTTTTTATTGGTATCAGAGTCATGTTAGATAATTGTTGCCTCATCTTGTATAAAAAAAGACTAAGATTAGGCTAAGAATAGAGCATGTATAGAATAGGTTCTCTGCTTTATAGAAAGACGTCATTTGACTCCCAATACCTTGATTCACAAGTCCTAATTTTGATCAATCTCATTTCAGGTGATCAATATGGACCCAAAACGTTGACCCCCTACTCCAGTTGTCCCTGAGGGACTTTGAGTCGATCAGGCTGATCTTGTAGAAGCGATTAGGGAGCTGGTAGCTCATAATCGCCAGAGGGATGGGCAGCAACGGGTTGCAAGGCCGGGTAATATGTCCGATTTTCAAAAGCTTAACTTGCAACACTCTGTTAGGACTGAAGGCGGATATGAGGCTGAGATGTGGTTGCAAACCATGGACCACCTATTAAGGACATCAAAGATACCAGACGAAGACCGAGTGGATATTGTATAGCTGCAGCTTGTTAATATAGCCAGAACCTAGTGGGACACAGAGGAGGAGAAGCTACCTAAGCTGATTTCATGGGAGACATTCTGGGAGTGTTTCCTAGAGATATTTTTCTCGAAGATAGGTCGTCTTAAGATGAAAAGGTAGTTTGTAATACTGAGACAAAGAGCTGGTACTGTAGATGAGTATGCAGCAAAATTTTCCAAGCTCAACAGGTTTGCCCCACGGATAGTGTCGAATGAGGTGGATAAGAGACAAAGGTTCATGCATGGTCTAAATTTTGAGATCCAGACATAGATTTATAATCAGAAGGGGATTGAGACTTATGTTGATGTCCTAGAGGAAGCTCGGAAAGCAAAACAACTGATTGGGATCATGAACTCGATGAGGAGAGGGGAAAACAAGCGCCCTGCGGGACATACCTCGGGAGGTAACCAGCAGAAACCTCAGATGGGAGGATCACCAGCCAATCGTTAGCAGACCGGGACTCCGAGACCAGTTCCACAGCCAACTAACATGATTTTCCATTATTGCAGTAGGCTGGGTCACATGATGAAGGACTACGGAAGAGCTAATGGTTTGTGCCTAGCATGCAGGGTGATGGATCATCAGCTCACCACTTGTCCTAGTAGAGGAGTTTCAGGAGGAACTTCAAGTAGAGCGATAGTGCCAGCAGGTCAGACTAGACTGGGTGGACATCAGTTGAGGCCATCACTTCCCACACAGCAGCAGATGTTTTGAGAACAGTAGAGGGGTCAACAATTTCAAGGCCAGAGACAGTGGAGAGGTCCTAATTTCCAGCACTTATACCTGCTATAGTATCAGCGAAGGCGCCCAGGACAATATGATCAGCTAGCTCAGCAGTAGCAGAGACAAGGTCAGGTTCTGACACTTACCGCTAAGCATGCAAACACATCTGGTGATGTACTCACATGTACCATTTTAGTTTATTCCGTCCCTACATTACCCTATTTGATTCTGGGGCATCGTACTATTTTATATCCGCTCAGTTCATTACACGACACACCATACCATGTGATAGTTTAGATGCAAGCTGGAATATCCATACAGGTAGCGGGGTGTTAATATCTAATAGGGAGTGTAGGAAATGCCCAATGGTAGTTTGTGGTAGGGAGCTATTTACAGATTTGTTGGTGATTGACACTAACAGGTTCAGTGTTATTTTGGGGATGGATTGGCTCTACATTTTTCACATGACGATCGACTGCCGACACAGAAGCGTAGTGTTCAAGCTACCAGATCACCCAGAGTTTGAATTCATAAGCGATAGCAAAGTGATGGAGCAGCCAGAGCATCGAGCAGGTATGGATGGAGTATTAACGTGGATAGAGGTAGAGGAGAAGCCCATACCAAAAATTGTCGAGGAGTTCCTTGATGTTTTCCCTGATGAGTTGTCGGGTTTGCCACCAAATAGAGATATAGAATTCATCATCGATCTTATTCCAAGGGTTGCACCTATCTCAAAACCACTATACCAAATGCTGATATCAGATTTAGAGGAGTTACGAAAGCAGGTCGAGGAGTATCTTGATAAGATATTTATCAAGCTTAGTACTTCACCTTGAGGAGCACCAGTAGTGTTAGTGCTAAAGCCGGATGATAGACGAAGGATGTGTATTAACTACAGAGAGTTGAATTAGGTTACCATAAAAAATAAATACCCCATTCCCAGGATTGAAGATCGTTTTGATCAGCTCGGAGAAGCTAGGGTGTTTTCTAAGCTGGACCTCAGGTCAGACTATCATCAGCTGAAGATGAGGAAGGAAGACATACCTAAGACCGCATTTCGCACACGGTACGAGCATTATGAGTTCTTGGTGATGCTGTTCGGAGTAATAGACGCTCCCTCTACATTTATAAGTTTGATGAACAAGGTGTTTATTTGTGTCGAAAGTTGGTTTATTCGTGGAACTCATTACTCAATCGTTTACAATTTTAAAAGAGTTAGTCTTTTTATAAGACTTTTCTAATACGAATAAAAAAAATGAAAATATAACTCTCTAGAAACACACGCAGAGGACGTTTATCACCCACTGCTTGCGTGAGATCTTTACCTATATCGGGGTTTATCCGTGGACCACCGCGGATTAAATCCGGTTAATCGGGAGGCTAAATGTTCCTTGCTTCACAAAGGAAATGAGAACGGAAGTAAATAATCTCAACCAAGTGAGATTCCTACTCTTCTCAAGACCAGTACAAATTCTAATCTCAAGGAATGGTAGAACGCGCCTCAGATCTCTCGAAACGCTCCTTCTTTATGCCGGAGTTCACTAAAATCTGCTAGCTTTCGTCTGAAATTCGTGGGATTCACTCTCTAAACGGACATCATCTCACACTCTTCTCAGAATTTTAGATCCCCTGCGTATAGGATACTAGGTTTGTATTTATAGGCTTCAGTTGTGGTGTTTTTAGATAAGAACAAGTGATTTGGCCTTATCTTTAGTTAATAACAACCTAACCATATTTAGGGATGATATCCAAGTAGTTGGCAGGCTCTGGAACAAACAAATCCTAAGAAAACATCGAAATACGTGTTTTTGAGAATAGGGGTGAGAGTCAGTTTAATGTGACCCACGGGTGTGCGGGTCACATTAAGGTGACCCGCGCGAGTACGGGTCGCATTAACATGACCCGTACGATTGTGGGTCACATTAATGTGACCCGCAAGGGTGCGGGTCACTTTGATGTAACTCGCACACCGATGAGTCGCTTTGATGCGATTTTTAAGCAACTATATCTTGTTTTGGTCTTGTTTTTTCATTTCACGGGTTTGTACATTTTACCAACTCGCTTTATACATTTCGTCATTTCATCTTAGCATCAGATAATCTAATGATGATGTTTATCGCCTTCGTTTCGTCTCGAACTATATGTGGGAACCTATAGGTAACGCATATAGTGTTTTCTCAGTATCTTGATCAGTTTGTGTTAGTGTTCATCAATGACACTCTTGTATACTCCAAGATCAAGGAAGATCATGCAGAGCATTTATAGACAATGTTGGAAATCCTGCAGAAGGAGAAGCTTTATGAAAAATTGAACAAGTGTGAGTTCTGGCTAGAGCAAGTGTCCTTCTTGGGACATATGATTTTAGGAGTAGGTATCTCTGTAGACCCAAAGAAGATTGATGCGGTGTTGAGGTTAGATCCGCCTACATCTGTGAGAGAAGTATGACGTTTCTTGTGGATGACTGGATACTACAGAAAATTTATAAAAGATTTTGCTAAGATTGCAAGACCACTTACTTGGCTGACTCGAAAGGAGGTCAAGTTTGTGTGGACTCAGGACTGTCAAACAACATTTGAGGGGTTGAAAGAAGTTGATGACAACACTAGTTTTGACAATCCCAGATGAGTCAGGAAGATTTGTAGTGCACACAGATGCTTTCGGTTTAGGTCTAGGTTGTGTCCTGATGCAACATGGGAAGATAGTAGCTTATGCGTCTAGACAGCTAAAGACACATGAGAGGAACTACCCGGTTCATGATCTGGAATTGGCGGCGGTTATTTTTGTATTGAAGCTATGGCGACACTATCTTTTAGGGAAGAGAGTGGATGTGTACACAGATCATAAAAGTTTAAAGTATATCTTCACTCAGAAGGAGCTCAACATGAAGCAGCGGAGGTGGTTAGAGCTTATGGCGATTTACGATCTTGATTTGCAATATCACGCAGGACGAGTTAATGTGGTGCCAGATCATTCGAGCAGGAAGCCTGTGGCGATGAGACTCACCAGACAGCGGGATTTGCTAGCTGAGTTTTGGAGGAAGAACATGAAGATTATATTGCCTGGAGTAGGGAGATAGTTGATGAGTTTGCATTTACAGTCAACTCTGATGAACCAGATCAAGGCTACCTAGTTCAAGGATGCTCAACACCAAAAATTTAAGAAATAAGTCGAGTCTGGGTAGAGAACTGATCTACCGATACTTGAGGAGGGATCCTTGCAATTCCGTGGTAGGTCATGTGTGCCTAAGGGCGATGTTAGAAGAGAGCTACTGGAGGAGGCGCAAAATTTAGTGTTTTCTATTCATCCAGGAGGCACAAAGATATATCAGGACTTAAGAGGGCAATACTGGTGGTCAGGAATGAAGATGGAGATAGCCCGATTTGTGTCAAAATGTCTAATATGTCAGTAAGTGAAGGCTGAACATCAGAGGACAACCGCATTATTGCAGTTCCTTCCTATTCCCGAGTGGAAGTGGGAATATATTATAATGGACTTTGTCACAGCCCTGTCGAGGAGTCAGAAGAAAAACAATGCCATATGGGTAGTAGTAGACCGACTAACTATGACGACTCGCTTCATACCATTTTGAGTTGGACAGATGACGGAGAGTCTAGCGAAGCTGTACATGAGAGATATAGTACGCTTGCATGGGGTGCCGATTATCATTATGTCCGATAGAGACACAAGATTTTTATCACACTTTTGGAGGAGCTTGAAGTAGTGTATTGGGACTAGACTGAGTAATAGCACATATTACCACCCTCAGACAGATGGACAACCAGAGAGGATTATACAAATACTGGAGGACATGTTGTGGGCATGCATGCTGGATTTCAAGGACTATTGGGAAGACTACTTACACTTGGTGGAGTTTTCTTATAATAATAGTTACCAGGACAGCATCCAAATGGCACCTTATGATGCATTATATGAAAGAAAATGTAGATCTACTACCTGTTGGGATGACTTAGGAGAGCGGTGCCTGCTAGGTCCTTAGATGATAGTGCAGATAGTAGACAAGATAAGGACAATACAGGAGTACCTTAGGCCAGCTCAGGATAGGCAGAAGAGCTGGGTTGATGCTAAGAGGAGACCTCTACAGTTTAAGGTTGGAGAGCATGTTTTCTTGAGGATATCCCCAACTAGAGGAGTTATCAAATTTGGCAGTCGTGGGAAGCTTAGTCCATGTTTCATTGGACCTTTTGAGATATTAGAAAGAGTAGGAGAGGTGGCATATCGGCTAGCTTTGCCTCCGTCATTAGAGGGAGTTCATGATGTATTCCACGTATCACAGTTTAGATGATATGTGTGAGATGAGACCCACATCCTACGTATCGTAGAGCTTCAGATTGGGACGAACTTATCATATGAGGAGCGACCAATGAAGATTTTGGACAGACAGGAGAAGATCATCAAGAATAGAACTATCCTGCTTGTCTTAGTATCTTGGGGACATCATAGACCTGGTGAAGCGACATGTCTAGCTCCTTGTGTGCTTGGATTTAATTTCGAGGATGAAATTTCTTTTCTTAGGTGGGTAGGCTGTAATACCTAAAATTTTTTTCCACAAATACAAATTTTTTTATGCATGAGGGTTTCTCAGGCCCACTTTGTTTTCCTTTTTTTTTTCTTGCAAGGCCCATTTAGCCTTAAAGCCCAAAGTCCCTAGAACTAAGTATTTTCTAGGTTTTATCTTCATGTATTTGTTGGCAAGCATAACACCTCACGAGAAAAGAGAAAGAGAGAGAGAGAGAGAGAGAGAGAAAGAGAACGTGGATAAGAAAAACTAAATTTTTGCCATGATACCACGTTTCAAAAAAAAAAAAAAAAAATCAAATTTGAAATCTCAACAACAAAATCCCTCATATCCTAGAAAATATCTAACAACCAAATATTTTATTAACAACCCTATCTTCTTTAAGAGTTTATCTATCTACTTTGTTTTTTTCCTAAAAAAAACACACGGGAACAAAAAAGAGAACAGAGAAAAATTTGAGAGGAGAATCGGGTACTCAAGGAGAAGGAACAGATATGGATTTCAAATTTCAAAGCTCAATTTTAGCAAGCATTTCTTATCCTTCAACTCTTTTATTTTCTTTTCAGGATCACCTTATCTAATTATTAGGATTTCTTTCTAGAAAATCACGAGCAAAAGATTGTAGTTGGATTTATCACTTTTTATTGATCATAGTGATGTAGAAAAATCTTTACTCTTTATGCAAGTATTTTTCTTTTAGATAATGATATTTTTCTAAAAAAATTTCATTTTAATTTTAAATATTTTCCATAATTCGAATAAAATTATTTTTATCCATTTTGGCCAACTTTAGTATAATTATGTATTTTTGGGTTATTATTTTTTTCCTCAAACCTTTACTTATAATTAATTTGTTTTGGTTAGTCTAGTAATCAGAAACTATCTGTTATATGTATTTCTGTTGTAATTAGTTTCAAATAGATGTGGTTGGCCTAGTGATCACATGACTTGTTTGTTAACCCCTTAGTCATGGGTTTGAATCGTATAGGCGTTCATTTTTACAAAAAAATTATATTGGGTCTATTGTGAAGGCAAACCCGACCCAGTTCAGACCCATTATCAATTTCAGACCCGTTTGGGTTTATGATTCAAATTACAGATCCGTTTGACCCGGTTAGGATCAAATATCAGATTTCAGACCCGTTTGACTCAGTTAGGATCTAATATCAGATTTTAGACCCGTTTGGGTCTATGATTCAAATTACAGATCCGTTTCACCCAATTAGGATCCAATAACAGATTTCAGACCAGTTTGGTCCTTTGCTCACGAATATCAGTTTTTTCTAGATTTCTATGCTC